AGCAGGGAGTATTCAGAAGTATTAAAGAAACCAGGATGATCTCAAGGATGAGAGCTGGGAGCTCCACTGGTTAGACCAATACTGAACAATGAAGTACGGGTAAGGAGTCCTTAAGTAGCGAGTAGCTGGGAGGTGTGGTGCGGGATAAGGGACATGGTTGGATAATTAGGTAGTGCGTTGGTTTTTGCGGGAATCTGTGCGCGTGGGAATGTGTTGACAATAACTCAACAGAAGGACCAATGGCCATAGGGAATGTTTGTGTATTTGTAGTTCTCGTCCTCTCTGAATTGCTTTCTCAGCTGATAAAATGTCTCTTCCTGGTGCAAAGATTTCTTTGGTGGAGGTTAAGCTTTTAAGTGTTCAAAGATAATAAAGATAGAAATAAAATTTTCAGTATTTGCAATAGTTGTTCTTAAATACAGTATATCTTCTGTGTAAAATTATTAACCATACTGTACATCTGTGACTTATCAAGCAATGCATGTTATTTGGTGTGACTCATTCCAAGAAAGATATTTTAATGCAGTGCACTTTTTTTTTTAAATTGAACTTGACACAGTAGTGTTCTTTTATTTCTAACTGGAAAAAAAGAAGCCAAAGAGAAACAAATGTGTCCTTCCTAGTCTCCTTTGGACTTCTTATTTTCCTCTTCTTTACAGCTGTCAGTGTCTGCTTCTTTATTTAAGGCAGCTTTCAATGGCTCATTCGTCTTTCTCAGCACTTGCAGCTGTCAGTGTCGTTGCTGCTTGGCTCATCTGCAGAGCCTTGATGTGCTGCTTTTCTCCAGCTCACCTTTCACACACCTACTGAAAAGAGTACTGGGTTTCTATAGAGAGAATTGCAGCTACAGCTTATCAAGACAGTAACTAGCGGCAGCTGTGGTCTCCCAGACGAGCAATAGCTGACACCCTGTCACACCACTGTACCATCTTTGTTGCATGCCTTATTCTAAAACATATCCTGTCTAATCATCTACCACTTTTCATACAGCCATCTCCAGATTTCTCTGGTTTTCATTCCACCCTGGTCTTAAGTAATAAATTAATTATTTTGAATTATGTTAAATCATCATTTTTTTCTTACTCACTTTCTAATTGAAAAAAAAATGTAACCTGGAAGATACTGTCCTTCTAGAAACTCTTGTATGTCTTTTGAGTGTAGTTTTCAATCAAGAAGCCTTTAGGTTAGACATTGACATTCTACTTGAAAACCTTACAACATGCTTAGTGTTGGTGTTTAGTTTGGGTGTTTAGTAGATTAAAGGTGTCACTAATTTGCAGTAAGTCAAGACATCCAGGTCAGCACATTTACTCTGCGGTACCCAGCCCAATTGTTGGCCACTGCTTGAGGAGTCCTGGGCATAGTTGGCAAATGACATGTAGTAGGCCAGACTTGAACCAGTGAGCTCATGTTTTTGTCTAGGCTTAGTGCTATGTGTAAAACAGTAGAGAAAATGCACCTTGAACAGTTTTGATACAGTGATGACTGTTTTCATAAAGAATATTGTTCTGTGTTTTTCAAAAAAGATCAAATCTGTGAAAATATTTCACATTTGCCAGAGAAATGCCAGAGAAAATCAAATGATAGAATTCAGTGTATTAAAATCTTTATTCCGACTTTAAAGAAATAAAAGTTAACACCTTGCCAAAGTCCGTGTGATCACTGCTCTTGATGAGGGTGTTTCACTCCTTCCTCTCTTGATACTGTATTAATGCAACTTTCCTTGAATGAGAAGCTTAGAGATGCTCAATTAAACTGTGTTGACAGTGGGCTATTAATTAGATGGTCCTGACTAGCTCTGTCTTCAAGACATCCTGCTGCAGCTTCTCCTGGATTTTCACACTTTCGTTTTTTTGTGGAAATTGTGTCCTTTGTGTTGTTCTATCTTTTATTTGTAAATGTGAAATGTAAGGACACCTTCTTTAGCATACTACACAAAAACACAAAGTACTAGACCAGATTGAATAAGAAATGCAGTGACATCCCAGAATGTGAGTGTAAAAGCAATCATCACATTCCCAGCAGAAAGACTGTTTTGATCTTAAAAGTGAAACCTAATGAAATAGAGTCACAGAGTTAATCCAGGTGAAATTAAACATTTGAAATACATTTATATTTCAATAAATTGTACACAAAAAATGTAAAATCTTTGAAAAATGTGAGTGAAATGGTGTTCAATTGATATTTTTTATTGTCAATGGAAAAATTGTAATAAGATTCTTTACATACACATGGCGTATATTGTTAACCTGGTAAACTGGTAAATACAATTTAAAGAATATATGTTATTGAAATATTTTTACTCCATTTGGTTAACCACTCATCAATATAATGAGTCAGAAGGGTGTATGTTCTATATTTGTCAAAGAAGAGCTGATCTTAATGAGTGGGAACGGCTGTGGCCTCACTGAGCAAGCTTTGATTGAACTGGACTTTTTGCCACAAGATGAGATTTGTTACAGTAGCTAATGCTTCATTAACTTGTACATCTGGAAACTGTCTCTTTCACTGTCAGCATATTATCCACAGTATCACAAGCACTCACACACATTACTATGGCTGTGATGAGGACATGTCAAAAAATGTATTACAGGCTATTCATTTCCTTACTGCTTGGAGTTTTGTTACTATAATATGAGTCTGAATACTGATTATCAAATGGAATTAGGTGATTCTTAGTCTTTCTTGACTAACATGTCTTGTGTGTGTAATTTTAAATCAGAAGCCCTTTTTTCTGTTGGTTGATGTCATTGTGCAGAAGCATTTAAAATACATTTTTAAAGGGAAATACTGTATCAGGGCACATTGACTGAATGGAGTTTTGCTGAATATTGCCTTTTTCAGCTATACCTGATTAAAACAAAAATGTGTTCTGGCCAACTGGGTCACCAACTCTTAATTGATGGTTTACTCAGATTTTTCCCCTGAGGTTCTCCCCCACAAATTCAAGTGTAATAATTTGGGGGATGAATAGTCTTTTCTGACCATATGGTAGCTGTTCTTGGCCCAACTCCATAATTATCTGGCAAATATACAGTTAATGGAATTCACAACTTAGGTTTGGGAAGGATGACAGCAGCCAAATTCAATTTGTCTCAGCTACCCTAAACAGCTCTATATATACTATAAGCCTTTTTTTCATTTGCAATTATTTTCTGCATCCCTCCTCCACCTTTTCTTCACCTTTGCGGCTACCCCTTGGTTAAGTCCTCATTGTGAATGGCACAGCAATAAGGTCAGGAGGTTAGCCCATAGCCAAGTGGGTTGAGCCATGTTTACTATAACTAAACACTCAATAAATATTTTCATTCTTGTGTGTGGTTATCCCTCATAAATAGAAATGGCAAAATGGCCTTTCTCATATGGGATGGGAAATGTGCCATTTGAAGTATGAGCACAATATGCACAAAAATCAAGAAAGAAAAGAAGAAGAAAGGAGTCAATGTGTCCCACTTATCAAGATACTTTTTCGTTGAACCGTTGGTGTTCATAGTCAGTAGTTCTAATTTAGCAAGACATTACAGTCAAACACACTCTGACAATGTTTGGACACAATCTGGGAGACCACGATTAACAACATCTCATCATGATTGAACAAGCATGATTGTCTGACAAGGAGTATCTCCTGTAGTCAGTACTGACTTCCACTTGGAATAATTCATGGCAACCTGTATTCCCTCTAAGCTGTGCAATTGTGTAGCCAGTAAACTTAAAGTTCTGTGCACAAAACATTTCTCGGTCAGCAAGAGCATTTCAGACCTAAAATGGAGAGAAATCAAATGAGGAAACATGGAAAGATTGTATACAGTACCACACCACTTGTCCATTATCATAATATGATTACTGCTTAGTATTACAATATTATCAAATTACCAGGGTAATAAACACAGCTGGTGTCAAACTTGCATACATTCATAGCCCTTTGCTTATCCCTTTTACTGTACATACAGAATCACCTACTCAACAGGAACCATTATCAAATCATTCTCAAGTAACAATGCAACAACTGATTTTATTCTGTATGCTTGAAAGGTTTTTGAACATCTAGATTTCCAGAAAACAATCCCAATAAGTAGTCTGCTTCTGACATAAAATTGCCTATGGATTGTGTACAAGGCATTATTATTTTTGAACAAAATAAGCTTTTGTTTTTTGGGAGGTTCTTGGTTGTTTTGTGTTCCTATACTGAAAATTTAAAGTTATTTTTGTACCCTAAAGCAGTATTTGTGTCTATATTCCCACCTATTAAAAGATTGCTTGCTACGACACCACAACCACCGAGTATGTCTTGGTACAAAATAAATTTAAAGCATACCATACAGTACCCTGTATGCTTCATATTTTGGAGGTCTGGAGGCCTGTTTTCTTTACATGCAAATAAAATTTAAATCTGATGTTTTAATATATCATTCCAAGACACAAAGCAAAAAAATACAAATCCAAATAAAAAAAGAAAAAATCCTACTTTTGTTAAAAAATATGTAGAAGTAAACGGACTGTGCTAAAACATATTTTAGCCTACGTATGTGCACTAGTTATCCCTTTCTTAGGGAAACACACATTTTTATATATTTATATTTGTATTATATTATATTATATTATATCATATTATATTATATTATAAAAATATTTGCATAATTATTTATTGGCTTTCTGAATTATATTTTCGGTTTCAAAAGCTTAGTAACTGCAGTCCTTTAAACAGCACAGAATAGTGATTGACAGCGATCTATTGAAGTAGAACATGGGTGCCTTGCATGAATTAAGCTAACTTGACAGAGTGTCAGTGATAAGTCCATAGTAATTCAGTCATTGTCTGGAGCCACAAAGGTTCCTAAACCCCTGATGGTCATTAATATTTCTTATATTATACACAGTTTTTAAATAATATATACTTAATACCTTTCCTATATGAATACTTAACATGTTCCAATAAATTGCAGGAATCACATCAGTTCAAGAAACAAAATAACAAAGTGTTCTGTTGTCCCTGTTGCTAGGTTTGAAGATGGAACAATTTCTTTCCTGGATGTTATTGCTCTTAACCATGGCTTTGAGGTGCTGGAGACTCTGACAGGTGAGTGAACACAGATCTCACAGGAGAGAATTAAACCAAAGGCATGGGGCTAATTAGAAGTTGTGGGCCATCTGAAGTATTGCACCCAGAACAGAATGAAATATTGGGAAAATTTAAAAAGCATGTACTGCATGAAGTGATGAAACACAAATGAAAGCTTTAGCATTTCATCCATTCATTTCCTAACCACTTCATCCTATTCAGGGTCACAGGGGAACTGGAGCCTATCACAACATGATGTGGGCACCAGGCAGGATACACCCCAGATTAGACATTAGTCCATTTCAGGGAACACATAGACATACACTCACACCAATTTTCCTAGAAGTCAATTCAACTACTAGTATGTCCTAGTAGGGAGAAACACATAGCACCAGGAGGATAATGTCACGCCCTCCACATCTAGGAGGTGGTCCTGCTCTGTCATGTTCCTAGTTTCCCTGTGCTTTACTTGTTCTTCTGGTGTGTCTTGTTGTCTGGGGCTTTATATTTCCGTGTCTCCCTATCCTCCTCGCTCAGCATTGGGATCAGTTGTCGGGAGGCTCGCCTCTCCAGGTCGCCCCACGCCTGTTATCTGAGGGCTTATGTCTCGCTCCGACTCCGCCCGATACCTTGAGCCCGGACCAAACCCCAGTGTTTGCTCCGTTCCTGCTGCTAAGCATAGGGTTCTTCCATCTCACGGGTCTCTCTCCACGGCTAGCCTCCAACTTCCGTGACAGGATGCCGAGCCTGCTATGGACATCGCGAGTGGCCTCCTGGCCACCCTGGCTTCTATTCCTTGTCTCCCTTTTCTTCTTTCCTGGCTTTTGTTTTTCTGGCTGCCCTGGCTTCTGGTCTTAGTCTTTTTGCTTTTTCCTCGTTTCTATTTTCCTGGCCGCTCTGGCTTCTGGTTTCCCGACTGCCCTGGCTTCTGGTTTCCCGGCCTACTCGGCTTCTGTTTCCTGTTTCCACCTAAACACAGGAAAAACATACAGTAAATAGCCACTCAAATGGTACTCCAGGTCCATAATGCACAATATGCATAATACAATTAACTGTTTAAATGAAATCAGGCATGAAATCTGTTTAACGCAGAAATGTTTACAACCATGGTGTATCAACACACTATTTGTACATCAAATACTGTATATAAATAACTGAACTAAAATGTAGAAGCAGCATACAGGAAGTGTTCAATGGATTTTTAAACTATAGTCAAACTCAGAAAATATTTTTAATAATGTGCTAGGAGATCGGCTGTGTGTTTTAGGGCTAGAGAACTTATGGTGCACTAAACACTTATCTTTATACCTCCTGTGCTTTTCCATGTCATTCCCTGTAAGCTGATAGGTAGATGTTCAGAGAAGCATCTTTTAAGAATAATAGAGGATCTGTCTTTAACTGTACACAACATAAATAATGTAACAATAGTACGACTATCCTTGATGAATAATAAATTGACTGTTGGTAGATAAAACGTATGGCTAGTTATATATCAAAAGGTACAGTATGAAAATATACAAAATATTCTGTATTCTAAATTAAATTAACAGCTGTTTTTTTAGAAGGAGGTGCTAGTTGTCATAGTCCTTTAGCATTTTATGAAGACATTCAAACTTCAAAATATGTTATGTTTTACTCACAGTAAATTTGTAACTTAATAATCTTGATTAAGCGTATAGCAAATAAGATTTAAGTGAAAATGTCTTCAGCCCTATGGGAAAACACAGGTATTCTCTTAACCTCATTTACACTAGGGAATGAATACAAACTCTAGCAGATGTTCATTATTTGAATGCTAAGTCACCCTGAACAGAAGAGCAACTCCAGCCCAGCCTTTCTAACACCTCCACCTAATTACAGTATATAGTTCACAGAACAGTAGAGTTCTAACCATAGAGGTTCCTAAGACTCTTAATATTTGACTTTAATCAAGCTGTGGCAGAACATGCAAATATTTTTTGTTTCATTTGTTTACTTCTAGAATGTGATGAAAACCAATTCTTTTAGGATATTTCTTTAAAACAAAGATGGAATAGGTAAATGTGGCGATTTCTCCTTTAACAAATTTTACAAATTTCTGCATTACATAAGCAGTATTAATAAATTATCAAAGTAGTATTAATCCAGAAAATCCCTTGTGGTTTTTTGTAAAATTACAAAAACAGTTCTTAGGTTTATTTTTGTACACAAAGTAATTAACTAAAATAAAGACCACATAAAACATGCATTACAACTTTACACTAATTCAACAGCTGATTTATATTTAAGTAATTCAATTTAGTCACCTCTAAAGATATAAAATCTGGACAGATTTTTTAAATCCCTCTGGAGTTTCAAGGACATACATAAAATGTTTTATTTATTATCAGTGCGGTTCAAAGATCCTAGACCCTACTTTTCTAGCATCCTACTGTAATTTTATCCACCATGTTTGGCAGATGCTGTTTTTCTCAAGCTGAAAGATGACACAGCCTTGAGGTAGCCTGAGGGATAAATTTAAAAAGCTTATTAGTATCTAGTATCCAGATTCTGCATTTGAAATATTTTTTCCCACACTGCCATAGTGCTTTAGTATGTAAGCACCCTTTCAAATGTCTGATTATGTTTAAAACTGAAATCACATTATATGGCCAGTGATAGTACAGTTCTGAAAACATGTAAAATGCATACATATGCAGCAAACAAAATACTGTGGAAGGGAAAAGTATCCAATTTGTGTTTTATAAGCAAGATATAATAATGGTTTCAAGGAGGACTTTTGTATTGTTGCAGAATTAAGCAGTCATTGGTCATAAACATCCTGTGGGAGAAAGCTGAGAAAGTTTTCTGGGTGAAAAAGATCTCACTTATCTCATCTACTTCCTTGACATTATTAGTCACACAAACCATTGCAAGCCTGATTTAGACATAATCACTCACATAACCTAAGCAGTTTCTCTCCTCTCAGATTGATTTCTCACAGGTGCATTTCTTGCTTTATGGCAGTATTTGTTTGTGGTTCACAAAAAGTTACATGAAAACCCAACTGGTAGAACCTTTTACACTGAGCTTTAGCTGCATAGATCGGCTAAACTTTGGAATTTAATTTCATTACAACCAGCTGATTTAAACTTCATGGTTATGGATTCCAGACTAAAGGGTGATGGGTTCAGCTTCCAGAACTGCTGTTCCTCTAAGCAAAATGCACAAACACAGTGATGGGGGGGCTGTGGTATTGACACTGAAGAATAGGTGATTTTTCACTTTTCTAATGTTATTGGCTGATGTAACATATACTTATACAGTATTTGTAACAAACTGGGCATGTTGTACATCTGGGTTTTTTAGTCAGTTTTAGTGAAAATGGGTGTCTCCTTGCAATTACTAGTCCAGAGCTCTAACTGCTGTTGCTTGATAGAAGGTGGTTTTCTGTGCAACTCAATGAACTGTAGCTATAAAGAACTGTGTTTTAGAATCTGGTTCCCAGGTGGGAACCAGGTCGTGAACTCATAAGAAGATAATGGAATATTGGATATTTTCTAGTTTTCAAAACATCTTTTTATACTTGTCCAAAATTCTGCATTTTTGTTTTTGTTCTTTACACTTAGTTTTATTTATAAAGCCCTTATGGTAAAGGCCAGCAGCATAACTCTAAACAGAAAATAAAGGAATCAAAGCTTTATTGTTCTATTTGGCAACATCCCACTTGCTTTGCCCTTTCAAGAACATATACAGTAAATAAACTGTACATATATGAAGGAAAAAAACACAACCATAGATTGGCGAAGAAACTTTATTTCTGGGTCAAGGTTTAGATTTATATGGTTATCCCTTCTTCTGATACACAGCTCTCTGCATCTTTACCAGTATGCTGTTGGTAATTTTACTTCCATCTGAATGTGCATTTATCTAGTGCAGACATTCTAATCACCAGCTGAAGGGTGCCATACCCAGCTGTGTTTCACTGCACTTTAATGGATATTTCACATATTAATGGGAAACTACCAAACCTTTGAAGTTAATTGAAATGTTTACCAACTGCAGACTGTAATAAACTCTGATACAAGATATGTATGTATTCGGGATACTGTTCTGTGGCTTTTCACTCAATCGGATGCATTTTCTTTAAATGAGTCACATTTCCTTTTCTTTCTCTCTTGGGGGTCTATTGACTGAATCACTAATACAGCCTCCTACACCCATATTGTACTTGTTCTTGATACTTGGAGCTTTAATGAGAAGATTCATTAATTGAATGTTTGCAGTTCTGGATGTCGTGATTTAGCACTCATGATGAATAGACAGCAATGTAAGTAATCGTGGAGTAACATTTATTGTAAGGCACTTCAGTTGAAAATATGCACTTTCATTATAAATTGCATTTGGAGTATGAACATCAGAATGACTAATGATTAGGAAAGGAACTAGTTCTTATGGACTTAAGGGCATATTTATCAATGATAATGGACTAGCATATAATTTTTACATTATCTGCATAAGGAAAATCTGGCCTTTTAAAAATGGAAAAATATGAATGCGCGTATGCACTGTCAATTACAAATCAGTACTGGGATGTAAGTGATTTTTTATAGTCAATTAAACATGTACAATTTATCAGTTATAGAATATCTGAGCACCAGAGATTTTTATGATTTCAACATATGTACAGTAATTATTTACAGTACAGTACAGTAATTAATTAAGTAAACTCTTTCTGAGTGAAAAGAAAGATGAAAGAGACCAGTATGCCAAGTACTGAAATCCTATACAACAAAAAAAAACATTTATGATGAACACCAACCTTAAATTTAATGCCATGAGTTCAATTAATACTTGCTCCCTTTTCCTTATCTTGTTTTTCTGCAATTCATTCTGTTGTGCATTTCTAAGCATACAACTACTATAAACTAATTTACTATACTAAAAGCTGTAACATTTATGTGTTCTGTCATTATCTCAAGATGGTCTGTCAGTAATTACAGCTAAAGAACTAAAATGAGGTTTTAAATTTATAGGGACATATTTTGATCTCTTGGTGC